GGCCCGCCCTCCCCCGAGGGGCCCGGCGGGGGGCGGTGGGTGGCGGCAGCCCGGGTCCCCGCCGCGCTGGCACTGACGCGGCCGCCATGGCGCAGGAGAACGCCGCCTTCTCGCCCGGGCCGGAGGAGCCGCCGCGGCGCCGCGGCCGCCAGCGCTACGTGGAGAAGGACGGCCGGTGCAACGTGCAGCAGGGCAACGTGCGCGAGACCTACCGCTACCTGACCGACCTGTTCACCACGCTGGTGGACCTGCAGTGGCGCCTCAGCCTGCTCTTCTTCGTGCTCGCCTACGCGCTCACCTGGCTCTTCTTCGGCGCCATCTGGTGGCTGATTGCCTACGGCCGCGGCGACCTGGAGCACCTGGAGGACACCGCGTGGACGCCGTGCGTCAACAACCTCAACGGCTTCGTGGCCGCCTTCCTCTTCTCCATCGAGACGGAGACCACCATCGGCTACGGCCACCGCGTCATCACCGACCAGTGCCCCGAGGGCATCGTGCTGCTGCTGCTGCAGGCCATCCTGGGCTCCATGGTGAACGCCTTCATGGTGGGCTGCATGTTCGTCAAGATCTCGCAGCCCAACAAGCGCGCCGCCACGCTCGTCTTCTCCTCGCACGCGGTGGTGTCGCTGCGCGACGGCCGCCTCTGCCTCATGTTCCGCGTGGGCGACCTGCGCTCCTCGCACATCGTCGAGGCCTCCATCCGCGCCAAGCTCATCCGCTCGCGCCAGACGCTCGAGGGCGAGTTCATCCCGCTGCACCAGACCGACCTCAGCGTAGGCTTCGACACCGGCGACGACCGCCTCTTTCTCGTCTCGCCGCTCGTCATCAGCCACGAGATCGACGCCGCCAGCCCCTTCTGGGAGGCGTCGCGCCGCGCGCTCGAGAGGGACGACTTTGAGATCGTCGTCATCCTCGAGGGCATGGTGGAAGCCACGGGTGCGGGTGGGCCCGAGGAGGGGAGCGGGCTTGGCGGGGAACCGGACCTAGACGGGCGGGGAGATCGGGGGCGGGGCGGGGAGCCGGTTGCTGAGGAAGGCAGGGGCAAGAAGACGGGCCCTGGAAGGTGACGGGGAGGATGGATGGAGAGACTGAGGTGGGAGAGGGGGACCTGGGGCGGGGGAGGAAGAGAGCGACTCCGCAGAAGGCCAAGAAGCTTGGAGGAGTGCTCCGAAATGGCACTGGCTTGGGGCCCTGGACTGGGAGAAATGTGTCACTTGGAATAGAGAGGTGATAATAATAGCTAGCACTCACCAAGTGCTTAATCTGTCGTGCACAGTTCCAAAGCACTTTACACCTCAGAGTTCATTTAATCCTCACAAGATCCCTCTGAACGTAGTTAACTTTATTAGTGTGCTCATCTGAAAATGAGACGAGATTGCCCCAAGGAGAGATTAAGTCCACTTTCATAAGCCAGTAAGTGGCCGTGCCTGGATTGAACACAGGCGGTCTGGTTTCAGTGGCTAGTGGGCTAGAGTTGCAAGGAGGAGTTAGGTTCAGGTTTTCACTGCTGAGAAGTCCAGCCCCCTGAGATTTGATGGTGACGGTTTTCCATGCCCTGAGTTATTCCTAGGCTGGACCTTAAGGAGAGATTAATACCTGGTCCCACTTTTGCCTCAGTTTCCCCATCCATCCAAAGGCTCTCAACTTCCACTGACACGGGAAATAGAGGATGTTGCCATTTCTAGTCCCTTCCCAGAAGGAACTGGCAACTCATCTATGACGTCAACACCTCCAACTCAGGCCTACACAGTGAAGGGTTTGGGAGTAGAACGAGACCAGTGTAGGAGCAGCAAACGAGGTAGGTCCCTTAGGACTTGAGATGTGGAGATTAGATGAAGGTAAGAAAACTGCAGGTAGAGAACCAAAGGCCCACTAGGGGGCGCTGTATTCCTGCCACTGAGGCCAGAGCCTCTGTTGCTCCCCGCTGGCTTCTGACAAGCTGGTGCCTTCAACTTCCTTCCATGCTTCCTTCACGCTGAGCCTGTGCTTCGTCCCCACCTCTGCCTCAATGCTGCACATTCCTCCTTCACCCCCGACTGGGCTCCACCTAGTTCTGTCCCCTTCCACCACATTCCCATCCCATTCCCTTTCTCTATCTCTCCAGCTGTTGCTCTTTTTTGCCAGTATCTCAGGCAGGCCCCTCTCCTGCCCTCTTTTGCCTTTGTAACCCCAGCGCCTTCCTCTCTTCTTCTCAGCCGCTCTCTCCCCAGTGTCCTTTATGCCTCTCCCCTCCCCCACTGGATGGCCTTCACCACGGAATACCAATGTCCCAAGATGTCTCAGGGCCAGGCTTTCAATGCTCAGGGCCATTCTGTGCTTAGCTAATGTTCATGCTTTCGTTCCCCCTTGTTCTGAGATGGATATGGGTTGGGAGAGAGATCCTGGGGTAGGAGAATGACCTGCAGGGGTGGAGGAAGGGGGGCGCACAACGCAATCCAACAGGGAAGACAGGACACAGGCCTAGGGGAGGGGTAGTGGGGAGGATGAGATGGAGAAGATAGGGATGGGAGCTTGTCTGATTTTTCTAGAGATAAAGCTGGAAAGGATGGTAATATTTTGGGTGAGAGAGTCAGGATCAAACTGCTTTTGAAAGCCAGCATAATGAGCCAAAACCCAAGAAGGTGACATTTAAAAGGAATAAATATAAAACTCTACATTTAGGCTTTAAAAAAATCACTTATGTAAGCACAGCATGGAAGAGTTCTGGTGAAAAAAGAACAGGGGGTTTTAGTTGGCCACAGGCTTGATGTCGTAGCACGTGATACAGCTTCCAAAAATGTTTATGTAACGTTGTCCTGGGCTGTATTAGCTGAAGCATCGTGGCCAGAAGAGAGGGGTGGTGAGCCCTCTCTTATGCATGGATCAGGCCACAGTTGGAGAATTTATCACACTCAATGTGCTTAAAGGGTCCTCCTTGGCTATTCTGGTTTGCAATCAAGAAAGTAAAATTTTTGGAAGTCAGGTCAAATAAGCAATGGCAGAGGGAGCCAGGGATGTTCAGTATGAAGAAGAGAAGACATGAGGGAACCTGAGACTCCTGTATTCAGATACTCAAAGGGTGTCAAGTGGGAGGGGAATGAAACCAAGGGGTGGAAATCCCAGGAGGCAGATGAAAAACAACCCAACTATTAGAGCCATCACACAAAGGAGTAGCCTCCTTGTGAGGTAGCGAGGCTCTGAGAGGGAAGTAATTCTGGGACGTAATTGAGTACAAGTTAGATACCCAATGTTGGGAAAGCTCCACTGGGGAGCCCCGTATGGAATGGGAAGTTGGACTAGACGATTCCTAAGGTCAGTTTCAAGGTTAAGCTTCTCTGGTTGGCATCACCTAAGGAGAGAAGGGGGAAATATGGGCTGGAGACTAAGGAGTCGGGGCAAATGGAGAAGAGGTGGGGAAGCTGGAGAAGAACATGAGTTGGCAAGGGAGAAAATGCACTGGACCAGAGGGAGGCGGGTCCCTCGGGGGCATGGAGGAAAGGGAGCTGGGAATGGGGATGAGAGGCCAGAGAGGGAAGTTTGGGACTGGGATTCCCCCCTGACCCCTCCTCCTTCCCCCAGGAATGACATGCCAAGCTCGGAGCTCCTACCTGGTGGACGAGGTGCTGTGGGGCCACCGCTTCACATCAGTGCTGACCCTGGAGGATGGCTTCTATGAGGTGGACTATGCCAGCTTCCACCAGACCTTTGAGGTGCCCACGCCCTCATGCAGTGCCCGGGAGCTGGCAGAGGCTGCAGCCCGCCTTGACGCCCATCTCTACTGGTCCATCCCCAGCCGGCTGGATGAGAAGGTGGAGGAGGAGGGGGCAGAGGAGAGGGCCGAGGAGGGGACAGGAGAGGGGGAGGGGGTGGGAACAGAAGAGGCAGAGGGGATGGAAACAGGAGAGGGGGCAGGTGGGGGTGCTGGGGCTGACAAGGAGCAGAATGGCTGCCTGCCATCCCCAGAGAGTGAGTCCAAGGTGTGACCAGTTTCCTCCAGACCCCTGTGGCAGACCAGGGGCCAGTCATGAGTACATGGGGAACTCGGTATCAGAGGTGGAGCAGGAGGGGGCAGCACAGTTCCTGGGAATGTACTAGAGTCAGAGAGGCCCTCTCAGAGCCTCAAGTCTAGGATCCAATACAGAAGGGAGGCGTACCGATTTCAGGATAGTGGAGGGTGTGGATGGGTGAACATATCAGTATGTGCATTTGATCTTCACATCTGTTCATGGGTGTATAGATGGACAGAAGGATAGACTTGCGCGGGTTGGATGGGAAGGTGGTGGCAGATAGAGATAGCCATGGATAGGACCAACACACGGTTGGTGCGCTCAGGGCTGTTGCTAACCCGTAGAGCACCTTTATGCAAATTCTAAAAAGGCACCTTTTTCCTCCAGACCAGGGTGCATGGCTTGGGGAACAGAGTGTGGGATGGATTGCAGTCGCCACTCACCTCTTCAGCCAGCCCCCCTGTGTATAAACACCCTTTCTAACCAGACACAAAGCACAAGCTGAACCAGAGGAAAGAAAGCTGGGCAGAGATGGGCACAGATGAGAAAGTGTCTTCCCAGTTCCACCCCTACCACTGTGACAGGCTGAGCAGGAGGATGAAGGGCTGCAAGGGAGGCTCCGCAGGTGTGGATGGCCTGATTCCATGGGCAGGGAAGCAGGCAGTGGGAAATGCCTGGGAAAGGAGAACCAGGGGTGACTATTTTCTGAAAGTGGAGAGAGACCTTGCAGGTGCCACAACAGAGGCAGGAAGGGAGAGAGAGGTTGTAAGGAAGAAGAAAGGCCAGGAGAGAGAGCTGGAAGGTGGGTTCACTAGAGCTGCGACACAGGAGGCCCTGGGGAAAGCAGTTTGTCCCTGGGGCACAGAGGGAGGGAGTCATTCAAATCATTGATGGGTGCCATGTGGGGCGGATATTCAAAGACCCAGTTTCTATCTTTGGAACCAAGGCACATGGGAAAAACAGAAGAATATACTGTGGCAACCGAACAAGGTATAGTTCAAACTGAGAACCCGCACAGTCTCTCAGAACAGAGAGTTTGGTAATCAGAAAGCTAGGAACTGAGCAAAGCACAGGGGATGATGTAAGCCAGCAGTTATGGAACCAAGGCACATGGGAAAAACAGAAGAATATACTGTTGCAACCGAACAAGGTATAGTTCAAACTGAGAACCCGCACAGTCTCTCAGAACAGAGGGTTTGGTAATCAGAAAGCTAGGAACTGAGCAAAGCACAGGGGATGATGTAAGCCAGCAGTTACAAAACTGTAGTGTGCATGAGAATCACCTGGAGGACTTGTGAAAACACAGACTGCTAGGCCCCACTCCCAGGGGCTCTGACTCACCAGGTCTGGGGCAGAGACCAAAAATTTGCATTTCTAAGAAGGTCTCAGGTCATGCTGATGTTGCTGGGCTGGGGAGAACCACTGCTCTCAGCAAAGACTTGGAGATCATATCAGGAGATGGGGCATGTAAGCTGAGGAGCAGCTCAGAAGTTGAGGAGAAGCTGAGAAGAAGACAGAGAAACGTAAAGGGTAGAGTACTGTGTGCGGGAAAGGCGACCTGAAGCCCAGGCTGGAGAGGTTAACTTTGGGCCCAGGAACTCAGCGGTCGGTGGACAAGCCGAGGTGGTGTTTGGGAAGATGAGTGGGCAAGATAGATATGAAGAAACATTTAGAAGGCCTTGAGGGGATTCCCGGGAAGTTTCAGGAAGCTGGAGCAGGAAGGGCTTCAGTGGCAGCAGAGGGAACCCCTGCAGCACTGAAGAGGTGGGACTGTAAATGTGGAAGAAACGTGACGAGTCCAAACATCTGAATGTGTCTGCCCAGCTGGGACAGGGGCCCCTGCAGACATATTCCCACCTCCACCCCTTCCTGGTCTCATCCCTCAGGATGGCGAGGGGAGAGTGATGCAGGTTGAGAAGGGGCAGAGGGGTGAGACGAGCTGAGGCTGGCCTCCTGGAGAGAAGTGCAGGCCCCAGCGAGCACACCCTCCGACAGGGGGTCCAGCCCACAGCAGCGCTGGCCGGGCAAAGACCTCCATCCCTTGGCCCTGGTTATGCCCCACTCCTGTCCTTGAATAAAGGTCTGAGCCCCTCGGGGAAAGCACCCCAGTCTGATCTCCCAGCCCACAGCAGCGCTGGCCGGGCAAAGACCTCCATCCCTTGGCCCTGGTTACGCCCCACTCCTGTCCTTGAATAAAGGTCTGAGCCCCTCGGGGAAAGCACCCCAGTCTGATCTGTTCCAGGCTAGGAAGCTGGGGTCCTATGAAGCCTCCTGGAAGCAGGAGAGGGGTCACCAGGGAGCCTGTCTGTCCCAGCTTGCGTTCACTCAGAGAAGACCCCAGCCCCAGTCCTTTCCCTTCAGTCTACGCATGGACGTCTTTGCCTCAGGTCACAGGGTCACCTGGGTCACCCTTAGTGGAAGATGAGGTCCCTGAACCCTGGTGTCGGATGGCCCCCCAAGAATAGATGTTGGGTTGGTGTATGGGGAGTGATTTTGATTGAATTCAGTGAAACAGACAGGAAGGGTTGGGCTGCTCAGTATCCACACACACTCACAGTAGTTAACCCATTGCAATTGAACAGGCAGAGAAACTGAGGCCCCTCCTGCCTCCTGGAAGTCACGGAGACCCTGCCACAGCTGTCCTTGCCATTGACACCACTCAGGGCACCACTGCACAGTGCAAGGAGTCAGGAGACCTGGGTTCTAGTCCTGGCACTGAATGTCACTAATTAGCTCTATGACTCTGGGCAAGTCACATCACTTCTCTGGGTCTCATCTGTAAAAATGGCACCTAGCAAACTAGTAATGCTCAATAAATGTTTAAATAACTGAACTGAAAGAGGTAGACTGGATGCCTCTGAAGGTGCAGAGCAGCTATGAATTTTAGGATCAGAGAATCCATAGGTAAAAAAATTCAGGGAGCCCCAGGGCACTGGAGGAAGGCGGAAGCTAGGGGGAGAGGCAGGGGGAGGCTGTGGTGGCAGATGAATGCAGGTGCAGTGGCTCTGGGACACACAGGCTCTCCCCTGACTGCTGCTGTCCCTGCCACCCAGGTGGCTATGTTCTGGGGCTTCTATTCTGCTACTGTCAGACAGAATAATTAAGATCAGGAGGAAAAAGACTAAGGGCCCAGGGCTTGGTGGGAGGAGTCAGGCCCAAGACCAGCCCAACCAGGAGGAGACAGCAGAGAGGTGTGGGGGAGTCTGGGGAGGTCAGAAAGAGCACTTCCCCTGGAAGCGCCTGCCCTACAACTCAGGAGAAGGCTGGGGAGAGGGAACCCAGCTTGGCTGAAGCTCACCATCCCTTGCTGTGCTCCCCTCCCTAGGAGGAGTCCATCCAAGAATTGGCTCAGCACTGACACTTCAGGCAGCAGATGGGACCCAGGTGTCCCCTCCCAGTGGGTAGCATGGCCCTTGGAGGCCAGATGGTATTTGTGGTGGGAAGAGAGTCCTAGGTCATCCAGAATAGGTTGTCAACCCCCAACAACCACCCTACTGCACACCCCCAGCATTTTACAGCCTCACAGCGGGGGAAGACACAGCCAGGCCTGGATTTTATAAAACAAGTTTATTCACATTTTAGAAAAACTAGTTCTAGGACAGGGACTGGCCTCCCTATAGGATGGGTATGAGATCAAGAGCAGAAGGCCAGAGGGAGGAGTTTGGGAGGGAAGCAGTGGGGAATGGGGGCTTGTCTCCCACTCTGGGTGGGGATAGGGGAAATAAATTAAAGGGTGGACAGGGGGAGAGGGTATCCAGGCAGCCAGTGGAGGGCTTGAAGCTGGGCTGGAAGACAGTCCCTGCAAGAGCTGGAGAAAGAGTACAGAGCAGGCTAAGGACGGAGAGCCCCGAGTGGGACTCCCTCGTGGCCCTCACCTGGAACAGGATCCTGCAGAGCTGAGCCGGCTGCTCCTCCTCAGGAGGGGACGACGGGAGGCAACAGCTCAGCTCAGGACTTGGGGTGGGAACCCTTGGAAAGACAAGACTGGGGGTGCTTTTCCCTCACCTGGGGAGTGTGGGATCACCGTTTTCGCAGTCTCTTCATAAAGCAGCAGGTGATGGTGCCAAGGACAGTGGCACCGGTGACGAGGGCCACCCCTGCACCCACCAGCAGGGGCACAAATAGTGTGTCCAGGGCTGGGTGAGAGAGGATGGTTCTGTTCAGAGGGGTGCCATCATCCCCCACCCACGGTCACACTGTCTCCCAGCACTTTCTCCATCATGTTCTCTGGACCCACCTCCTCACCCACAGACACAGCCCCTCCCCTGCCTACTGCTTGCCCCTCAGCCTCCAAGTCAACACCAGCCACAAAGGACCCCAGTGCTGATGGGCTGAGAGCTGGATTTCCAAGACCTTCCATGTGACGTGATGCGGAGAGGGAGGACAGCAGCAGGAGGATCAGAAGATGGAAAGAGAAGAACAAGGGCAGGAGGCTGGGAGGCGGGGGAGGAGGTGCTCACCGTGCGTGTAGGGGTAGACCGTGACAGGCCCCGAGCGGGCACTGCCTGCCTGGTACCAGCTGTAGTCGGCGTGCTGCACCCAGGCGCTGGGGGCACAGTGGTACACGCCTTCGTCCTCGGGCCCCAGACTGTGGAGTCTCAGCCGATGGCTTCGGGGCCCCACCAGCTCCACGCTGACAGGGCCTCCTCCAGGCCGGTCCCCCAGCTCTGCCACACCGTCCCGGCCCACGCCACCCACAAGCTCGGCAGGGGCAGAGCTCAGCTCGCCCTCCTCCAGTCGCTCCACCCACCAGCTGGCGGCCAGCCTCAGCCCCGGGGGGCCGCCCCGCACAGAGATGTTGCACAACAGGGAGGCAGTCTCCCCCCGGTACACGGTGCCCCCTGCTAGCCATGCCACAGCCTCCAGCACCACACCTGCAGGACAAAAGACATGGGGTCAGAGGGTGAAAGGTTAAGGGGCATGGGGTTAGGGCTGCTGTCTCAGCAACGGCATGGGAAACTCAGGGTATTTCCACAATCTTGGCAAATAAAGCACTGTGAGACGAAGGCGTGGAGGCAGCTGATGAAGAGGGGGAAAGGCATGGGAACAGAAAGAAAACGGTTCCACAGCCCTGAACCCTGTCAAAGGCCCAGTCCCTCTCACCTTCCTCCCGTACGTGCACTGGGAGAGGCCGGGAGCGGGCACTGGCTGCTTCACGGAGCCGGGTCCCAGACCCTCGAACATAGGCTTTGGCGAGGCAGCGGTAGGTGCCTGCATCTCCAGGCCTGGCAGCCTCCAGCCGTAGCCGGTAGGTTCTGGATGCCACCTTCTCCATGGCAATGTGCCGGTCCTCGTAGCCAGGGCCCAGGCTGCCCACACCCTCTGTGTCCAGCTGGGCTACCAGGCGGCCAGGCCCAGGTGCCCCGGCAGGTGCCATCTCCCAGCCCACGGAGTATGCAGCATGACGGCCTGGGGGGGGCAGTGCCCCTGACACATTGCACAGCAGTTCAAAGGGTTCCCCCGGGCCAATCCGACGCTCACCAGGCCCCACTGCCACTGCCAGCTGGCTAGCTGAAACACAGGAGGAGGAGGGGGTCATGGAGGCAGGAGGGGGCACAGAGGTGCCAGATTCCTTGTGGAGTTCCTCCCTTGACAGCAGCAACTTCAAGACCTCCTGTCTGCCTCTCGCTGGATATGACCATCTTCCTCCCACCCAGCGGCCTGACTCTCACCCCTCAGACGTGGCCCTCCTATATCACACGCAATTTCTGAGCAGAGAAAACCCATCATAGAGAGGGAAGGAATGCTAACAGGGCTGCTCACTCTAAGGATGATAAGGTCCCCAGAGTCAGACGATGACCACCCAGTGCCCCCAGAAGCCCCAGTGCCCACACAGCCACGTGGCCCTCCTATATCACACGCAATTTCTGAGCAGAGAAAACCCATCATAGAGAGGGAAGGAATGCTAACAGGGCTGCTCACTCTAAGGATGATGAGGTCCCCAGAGTCAGACGATGACCACCCAGTGCCCCCAGAAGCCCCAGTGCCCACACAGCCACCATCCCCCCCAGCTCCCATGGTGGGATGTGTGGCACTCACACAGCGTCTGCACATCCACATGGGCCAGGACAGCCCTTTTCTCTGCGATCTGGGCCCAGCTACCATCAGGATCCTGAATCCATTCAGCAGCAGTGCAGTGATAGGTACCGGCGTCCCCTGCCTGGGCGCCCCCCACCACCATGCGGTACCTATCAGGCCCTTCCTTGCCCAGCCGCAGCTCCCCTGCAGCCAGCCGCTCAGCATAGGGAGCTCCAGCCTCCACAGCCAAGTCCGACCGGAGTCCCACCACTTCCTGCAGAGTCGCTCGCCCCACTGGCGCCTCGGGCACGGCTCGCCCAAAGGACACCGCCAGGTGTGTGTGCTTCTGTGTGCTCGTCCGCGCCAGGCAGCCCAGTGCTAGCTCCTGCCCCTCATGCACCATCAGGCGTGGGGGGGAGGTTGGGGCCTGGCGGCCTCGGGGCCCTGGAGGGGCAGCAGACACCTGCAGCACATCTGGAAGAACTGGAGAGAACAGCTGGAGTGAGAAAGGGCTGGGAGCTGGCGGCTCTTATTAATGTCTAGTTCCCTAAATACCAGCTGTGAGCTCCTAGAGGGCAAAGACTGCATGTCATATCATTTCTTTTGTAACTCGGTGCCAAGCACTATGCTGGGCACACCACAGGCACTCAATAAACACTTGCCGAATTTCATAGAACTAGCCCATCGCTTACTCACCTTATGTTGGAGACTGACCCCTGTTTGAAATACTCAGAAAAGTGGCTCTGTCTTCCTTCTCAGAAGTCAAAGAAACTAAAGGAGCAAGAATGTCACACGGTCTAACTCCTACCTTACTTCTACTCTCTTTCCCAGATCTGGGTCCTGGACTTTCCAGGAGTAGAGTCTATTCAACCCATCAGGCTTCCCCACACTATCCAGGAGCGGAGAGTGGACTGGACAGCCTAGGACATTCACCTTCTCCCAGGAGGTAGCTTGATATGATTGGAAGAGCAGTGGACTAGAGTTTAATAGATCTGGGTTTGAGTCCCACACCAGCCACTGACTCGTTGGGTGACCGTGCAAGTCACTTAACCTCTTTGGGCCTCAAGTTCCTCATCTGCAAAACCTGAGGGGTAGTTAGATAGGTCTCTCCTGGCCCTCATTCCCAGCCTTGAGGGTGGGTGTGGCCCTGCTCCATCCCAGGACCCAGTACCTCTCAGCTCCACCTTGCCGCTATAGCTGCCCAGGTAGCGGGCATCCGTGGAGGGTGTGTAGCACTCGTAAACACCAGCATCCTGGGCCTGCAGGTGGGCAATCTTGAGCACCACGGCATCACCCTGCAGACGCTGCACCTGCACTTCACCAGCCGCCACACGGGGCCCAAAGACAGCGTAGGAGAATCGGGTGTCCCTGGTACTGATGATGCCCAGTGCAGCCTCTGGAGCCTCAGGCCTGTACAGGAACCACTCAAAGTCCTGCTGGGCAGGGCCCTCATAGCCGCTCACGTTGCAAGAGATGGAGACGGCTGTGCCAGCCACACGGTACAGGGGCCCCTCAGGGACCAGCACCTCCCGGGCGCAGCATCTGACTCCTGTAGAGAAAGGCAGAAGAAGTTGGGGGTGCCTGGGTCCCCATTCCATGCCCCCACCCACTACCACCAGCAAAATTCTTGACTCTTGCCTGTGAAAGCAAAAAGAAAGAAAGTATACAGCTTGGCCCTATTTTAAGAACAGGGAAGGGATACTGGGACATAAGACACCTGGGGCTCAAGGAGGTGGTATAGGACCAGGTTTGCCTCAGAACCCAGAAACATCTCATTTCTGGCCAGCCTGTAGCAGAGCACCTAAGGGCAGAAAGGAGCTCCTCTGATTCCTGACTTAACCGTTCTTGATTCCAGCTGGACCTTGATCTCCCCCCACCCCATTCACCCACCTCCATGTCTGCAATTTCTTCCTGGGGGGCTGGTCAGGGGAGCCTTCTGGCTAAGGGACTCTGAGACCACATGTCCCCCTTCTTGCTTGAGGGGAGCTGGCAAAATCCTGCTCAGAAGGGCTGGTTGGCTCAGCTGTGTCACCTGGGCCAGACAATGGAGCCAGTGGCCCGAGCTGGACAGGGCACAGACCCAGTCAGTTCTCACCACGCAATGCCCTCCCCCCTCCAGCTGTGCCATGAGCGCACTTGCTTTTTTCCACCCCACAGGGCTGCCGAGGCAGCTGGGGTTTCTGGGGCAAGAACCAGGCTCTGCCCTGGCCTTGGTGGGGTAAGATCCCCTCCCCTAGTGTCTACCAAGCCTCCTGGCTAGCCCAGCTGATGCACAATGCATCCCCCCAAACTCCCTAACAAGAGCCTTCATTTGCATATGGCATAATTCATTTACATATGGCTCCCTTTCTGCAGGGAGGCACTAAACCCCCAGCTGCCCCTTCCAATTGCTCTCCCCAGAGACCAAACCTCTCTTCTTCACCCTGCCCCGCCCCCACACACAACCCTGCCCCAGCAGATGCTACTGGCAGCCTTGGAAGGCTCAGCTTCTTCCTTCTCTCCTGCATCCTTCCATAGCTCCCACTAGATAAGATCACAGAACCCAGAATGTAAGAAGGTCTGGGTCAACCCCTCCCCCCATTTTACAGATGAGGAAAACAAGGCAAGAAGTATAATGTCTTGGCCAAGATCCTGCTCTCCTTGGATGGTTTCCACACACCCCTGCAGAGGGACGAAACCAGGGAAGAAGATGGGAAACTCCAAGGCCAGGCCAGAGGGGACTGACCTTACCAACCAGAGTGCCACTTTCAGGCTTCCCAGGGGGATATCCTGGCCTTTCTATAGGAGCTGGAGGAAAACACCCAGGAGTCTGTAGTCAAGCTCTGCCTTCCAGTTCCCCTAAAAAAGGCTCCTGTTAGCTTCCCCACCCTGGCTGGGCTCTTAGCTCCTTCCTTCTTCCTCTGGCTGAGTCACAGGGAGAACTCATGGTAGGTTGGTTGGGAGTCAGGCGGTCAGATTCTAGCCCCAGCCCCATCCCAGTCCCCATCTCCAGCTGTATGACCTGGAACCAAGTCCCTTCCTCTCCTGGGCCTCAGTTTCCACACTGGAGGAGAACTAAGAGCTGCAGCTTTGGCAGTGACTCAGGAGGGCCCTGCCCGAGGCCTGTTTCATAATCAGGGTGATGGCAGAGACAGCCAAGCTGACACTTTCCCTGGCTGCCTCCGGGCAGACTCTGCTCAGAAGGGCCCTCTCCCATCTTCCTGGCTCCACAACTGCTGATGCTTTGAGATCCCCATGGGAAAGTCACCCCCCACAGCCTTAGGAAATCAGGTGCCACACAGCTGTCTCCCCAGCCAGGCCCCTCCTGTGTGTTAGCAGCAGAGAGGAGAGGGAGAGCAAAAAGGCTTGCTCTGAGTCAGATCTGGGTTGAAATCCCAGCCCCAACACTGACTAGATGTGCTCTCTGGGGCAAGTTCCTTCCTTTTCCTCATCTGTGAAATGAGTGTAAATGCCGCACACACTGGGCACTCAGATCTAGGCAGGCTCTTCTCCACCTCCCCTGGGCCTCTCTCTGTTCCACACTGCCCGCTGGGGAAAGCAAGCCAGCTACTAGGCAACCAGGTCCCACAGCTCCTTCTCTGACATCCTCCTGCCTCCTGCCCAGGGTCCCAAGGAGAGGACTCATCCTAGCCCTGAAGGACCCAGGCACCTGCAGAAGGGGAAGACTGCTCAGTGCCACTGTGGAGCTCTGGTCTAGAAACAGGCAGCTCAGCCTTGACAACAGTAGCTCTGAAGCCACCATTCCCCACTCTCCTCCACCGCCCCCCCCACCAAACCCCAGCCCGGCTCCCACACCACACTCTTATTCCAAGGGCTTCAGTCTCCTAAACATTTGTACAGGCAGTTCCACTGTCTCCATGCCACACTCTTCTCCAGACCACTCCCTACAGGGAGCCCTCCAGTTCAGGCCAAAAACAACTCCACTGTCACTACCTCCATGCATCCATGCAAGGCTGGCCCAGAACACCTACCACAACACACACAAGGGTGCTTGGAGATCCCAGGATCAGTCTCCATGAACCTGGTTTCTCCTGAGGCACGGAAGCTGGGACTAAAGGGGTGTGACAACGAGGGAGGGGAGAGAAGGTACTGCAGAGCCAAGAGCCATCTGGGAGAGGGGAAGAAGGCCAAAGAGAGCCAGCCCAGGGTACAGATGGGGATGAGAGAGGGAATTGCCCCCAACCTTAGGTGATGAAGAGTGGAGGGGTGGACAATTAGGGGAGACTTACTTCAAAGGTCGTGGGCAGAATCAGCCCCTGGGCCTCCAGCCAACTCTGGGGCAATTATGAAGACGGACAGGCGCTGCCCACGCAGGGCGGGCACCCAAGGCCAGGCCTGGAGCTGAGTGTGGAGCAGAAAGGAGTCGCAGCATTTGGGCTCAGTAACTCCAGGACCTGGGTACGCCGGCTGAAAAGTGGGGCCTGCCCCGGAGGCCTGGCTGTGCCTGGGGCGGCAGCTCGGAAGGTCCTCACTGTGCCCCAGCCCGGGGAACCCTCACTCTCCCCAGGACTGGCTCGGCCGGCGGCCACAAAGGGCAACTGGGCGCCGAGCCAGGGTAGGCTGGAGACACACCTGACGGAGACGAGGTGTGCGAGGAGCTCCGAAATGCTGGGGAGGCTGGCCGGGCCGGGCGCCGGGCGCCAAACACCTGCCCCGCGGAGCCGGGGACCGGGGCGGGGGCCGGGGACCGGGGCGGGGCCCGGGCTTACCCAGCATTAGCAGCAGCAGCAGCGGCAGCGGCGGG